AATATAGTTCCCTGTGCTATACAGCATAAACTTACTGTTTATCTATTTTATATATAGTGGTTAGTAAAAAACAGAATACACCTTATTCACAAGTGTCCACAAATTTATAAAAATTCACTACATGTTTAAGTACAAAGACACCTCAGAAATTATAAAGCCATATTCTCTAATCATTGTAAAATAAAATGAAAACTTAATTAACATTAATTATTTTTTAAAATGACAATCACTTGGAACATTAAAAAAATTATTAGCCTGATTTAAAGAGATAATAAATGCAATATCAAACTTTTTTGAAAATATAACACCACAGATAAAAATGTATTGGATCTATTCATAGCTGTAAATCTCTGTATAAAAAACACTAAGAGAAGATTTCAGAAAAACTGTTGCAAATATAGCAGAAAAATATGAATATCTTTACTTTATCAAGAGCTCACATAAATTAATTTAAAACATAAAAGCCAAATAAGTAATAAACAGACAATGGATGTAAAGAGACTATACAAAAGAAGAAGCACATTATGTGAAAAATGTCAAATTCACTGGCAATTAAACAAATGCAAACTAAAACAACATAAAAGTGGACAAGATTATTAAAAAAAAAAATCACCTAAGCCGTCAAGGATACAGCAAAATAGTAACTGCTTGTGGGAGCATGAAGGGCCCACTCTTGGGAAAGTAACTTGGCAATAGTAATCAAGAACTTTAAAAAACAGTTACAAGTTTTAATCCAGTAATTCTACTTCTGGGACTCTGTCCTCATGCAACCCTACGTATGTAGAAACTTCATGCACAAAGATGTTTATTGTAAATGGAAACAACCTAAATGAGTAATAACAGGGAAACTGTTAAATAAATTATGTGACTATAAAAATTATGCTAAGAGTATGCTGTAAGATGGAAAATTCTTGCTTCACTGCTACACTAAAAGTCAGGCTTTAAAATTGTGTATGTATATACATATATATCACAATGTCACAATGCCATCTCATAATTTTTCAAAACCCTAGTCAAGTAAGTGCTAAAAGAGAGAAACAGCCCAGGCACAGTAAAAGGAACTGCAAGGAAATACACCAAAATACTGCCACAAGTGATTGTTTTTCTTTTTCCCTCTAATCTCATTTCATGTTTTCTTTAATGAATATGTGCCATATTACTTACAACCTCATGGACATAAAGGAACTGTCCATTATCCTTCTTATGAACCAGAAGGAAACACCTCTTTAGGTAGGGTGGGTACCAGCATTGTTTCTGGGTGTCTAAAGTCATTTTGATATTCTAGCACAAAAACTGCAGAATGGAAGTATGTTAGGCAAACTCCTGCCTTTCTCTACTCCAACAACTTCTTTTTCCCTCATTAATTCCCTCAATTTTCCAAACCTAAAGAAATCCCATTGGTCCTTGCTGCATTCACTTTCCTCCTTCGCATCTGGGATCATTCCCACCTTACTTCTGCAGTGCAGACAATGCCCCAGGCACACTGCTGCCAGTCTGAGTCCTGAAACCTTGCTAGCTGCAGCTCCCTGGCACTCCAAACACTCAGCAAAGGGTTCTGGGGCAGCCAAATGCACTGCTCCAGTAATTCTCAGGTTGGAGGCAGGGAATGAAAGCAGCTTAGGGACTCTTGGAGCCACAGAGAAAAGGTGGGAGATGTTTAGGAAATCTGACACAGGACCTTTTTGGAAGTAATAATAGTGTGCAACAAAGATTTAGATGTATGGCAAATTCCGGGACATATGTTTACTGAATGAACAAATGAATTGGGTTTCCCATCATTCTGCAGTGACACAGCTGATCAGCAGCTATATGGATCTAAAATTCCCCTCCTTGCCTATTACTAGCTGAGTGATCTTGGCCAAGTAACTTCCCTCCACAGCTGAACCTATATCACAGAGTTTTTTTTGGTGAAGGTTACATGAGACAATGCATATAAAAATTACAGTGCCTGGTACATAATAAATAATCAATGTTAGCTATGATTATTAGCACTTTAGAATCTGGCTTCAGAGTCAGTTGTATATATATCCGCCTTCCTCACTAGACTGTGAGCAAACTGTTTATATTACACACATCTGGCGTAGGGACTTACAAATGGAAGACACACAATAATATTTGTCAAATGGATTTGAGGGTATGCCAGGGAGATGGAAGGGAGAGTGCTGGAAACCAATTTAATGTACATTATGATTTTATCCATGGCCAACCTCTGTGGTGCTTGTTTTTCTTCTGTTACCAGAGTACACTGTCTCAGACTATGAGGTTGGCTGCTATAAAATGGGGCTGGTGGAACACTATTTCTGGAACCAGATGTTCTGTTCAGAGATTGTGAGGTTGTGCTTTGAGGCACCTAAAATCTCCAGTTTGGTCCAGTAGTGGGAACAGAAGTTCAGTCAGAGCTGGACTGGCCAAACTGGGTGTCCAAGCATGGGGTCACATCAGCTCTGAAGATGACCCACTTAGAAAAGATGCATTCTCTTTTTCAGTGTGTTCACCTAGAGGGATGTCTTTGTATATTGCACAAAACACCAGCAGGTCTCCACTGCAAACTCAAAGGTTCCCTTTTAAACTAGCCTCTTGACCCTTGGATGAACATTAACTAAAAAAAAATTTAGCTTACTAAATATTTATTCAGTGCCCATTATGTGCTAAACACTGTGCTAGACACTGCATATCCAAAGGTGAATAAAGCAATTATAGTCAGGAGAAGGTTGGGAGGCGATGCAGAAGGCAGGAGTGTGGACAAGTATGACAAGTGCCACCTAAGTGTAAGTGGTGAAGTGTCGCAGAGACATCCAAGACAGGGCCTAATATAAGGCTCAAAGGGTTGGAGAAGGCTTAAAGGGAGGACTAACAACCAAGATGAGGTTTGAAGAAGTGACCATGACAGCTAACATTTATTGACCACTTACTATATGCATCAGGCCTGTTCTGAGAACCCTGCATGAATCCCACATTTAATCCTTACAACAACACTGTGAGGTAGATAATATTCTCTTCATTTTACAGATAAGAAAACTGAGGCTCACAGTTAGTAAATGGCGGAGCTTGGATTCAAACATGGGCAGCTTGGTTCCAGACTACAGGCGAAGGAGAGGGTCAAACAGGGCTTCAAGGAAGAGGCAAGTGCTTTGCAACAGTCTAGAAGGGAAGAAAGAAGTTCCCCAAGTCCCTTAAGGAACTGAAAGTGACTGGGGGTAGGGACAGAAATTGAGAGATGACTGGGCTCAACCTACAGGTTAGAAGGAAAACCAGAGGCAGGGGATTTCTAGTCTACTCTGGACTTTCAAAAACCAGCTGTGTGATTCCTGTCACCTAACCCCTCCTGGCTTCAGTCTCTCCCTTTTGTAAAAGGCAGTAATAACAATACCTAGCTCTACCATAGAGAATGGCCATAAGCACCAAATGAGAAAAATGCATGTAAACTTGATGGCAAAGCAAAAATTCTTCCCCAGACTTGTAATTCCATTAGTATCATTTCCCGAGTGGCTTCAAAAATTTGCAAACCCAAATCAAGGGACAGTGGCAAGGGACTTTGAAGCAGAGCAAGAGGGTAGGAAATAGACCCACGGATCCTCTGTCCATCATCTCCATCCAAATCCACCACTTACTGTGTGATCCCAAGGCAAGTTACTCTCTCACTACCTCAGCTCCATCATCTGGGAAATGGGGATGATAATGATAGCACTTACCTCATAAATTGGTGTACGGAATAAATAACACGTGTAATACGCTTAGAACAGCTCCCAGCACAGAGTAAAAACTTAGTAAAGTTAATAGCTATCATTACCATCATTATTAAGAAATCTGCTGGCTACTCATCCCATTCCTCCACATTCTATGTGATAAAAACGTGTGGGGATATTAGAAGCTAGAGCAACACTACACAACCACGCTGCTGCAGACATTCCTCCTGGCTCCCATGGGCTGGCAAGCAGCTGGCTCTCTGTCCTGGCAGAAAATGCCCAAAAGAGGTAAAAGACAGAGACTGCACACCATCTGTACAAACCAGGCTGCTCTCATACTTTTTAGACAAAATCTAAATATAGTCAGTCAGATGTGCCTCACTTTTTTAAGATAAAACTATTCTTTTTCATACCTACACCCCTTCCTTCCCTCCCCCGATACACATACACGCTCCCCCACACCTCCCAAGAAATTTTTAGTCTTTTGCAAGACACACTCTGGGGTACTGTTGTGACAGCCTCTTGCCACATTAACTTCTCTAATTCCAGGCAGAGAAGCCTTTGTTAATTTCACAACAGGAAAGCACACAGGAAATTCAAGAACAAAGCAAATCTACACAAGGAGCCCAGTATCTTCAAGCAAATGCGCTGAGGTACTGACCCGAAGCAAGACGACTCTGGACTATAAATCAGGCAGCTGCCTCCTAAACTGCAAGGGGACGGAAGAAATCTTTTGCCTCTAAAAAATCAGATCTCAATACCAATTGCTAATGAATATTCATGAGCCGCTCCAGTTTGCTCAAAAGCCACCCTCGACTCTAAACCCAGGGATCTGCTTCCTAAAAAGTTTCCCGAAGTTCTTTCTCTGCCTCCTCTCAGAAGGAGAGGGTGGGAAAGTGTATTTAGGGCATTTTGCCTCTGGCTCTTTCAAGTACTTGCTTTTGGTCTGGGCTTTTGGTTTTCTTTTTTCTTTTTTCTTGTTTTGGTTTTGTTTCGTTCTTAAGGATTCAGATCAAATCAATTTTGCTCTTACCCCTTCTATCTTCCATAATTGGCAGCTTTTGTTTTCTTCCTCTTTTGCTCTTTATTTTTCAGCCTCTGCTTGCTGTGGTCGGTCTTAGTGAGAGAGGTACTCAAGGAACAGAGATATAACAGACCCTCGGGCTCGTGGGAGGAGCTAAATTAGCCTGCCCCGTTTCGGAAGGAACCTCAAACCCTATGTCTTTTTCATTGACTGGAAAGGGCAGACTGGCTGAGGAGTCCAGCGGCTCATTCCCCTAAAGCTTCCCCGGGTTGTAATTTTTTATATTCTTGAAGTAATAAATGTTCAATTATCTCTTTTCAGCTCTCTCCCTCTCCCTTTGTTACATAAATCCATTTTCCCCCTTGAAAAATGAGTCTTGGCTGCAAGCAAAAAAAAAGCCTATTTACTTTTTGCAATTTCGAAGCAAGGTAACAAGAAACTTGTTACCTTGATACCCACTGGAAAAACTGTGGACGCAAGAACAGTTCTTCCCGCCCCTTAAAGCTGATCGCTTCTAAAAAAAAAAAAAGCTGATCGCTTCTGGTCCCCTGATGAGCAATCCCTTTTCGAGGCTCATTACACCAGAAGAGCAGCGAGGCACCCAAGCGAAGGCAGGACGCCGAGGTAGGAAAAATCGTGGTATTGGTCAGGAGGCAGGGTGGGACAGCAGAGGAGGCTGCTCGCCGGGAACAGCTGTCGAGCTGTACTGATGCACGTTGCCCATCTTACCCAAAGTTTGACCTCCCAGCTCTGAAGTCTTACAAGCAAGAACTGCCAACTCAAGCTTTGCCAAAATGACCCAAATAGAGATGAGAAACTGACCAAAACATTTTAAAACTGTGTATATGAAATTGTTTTGAAATCAGGACAAGAGCTAACCCTCTGAGAGGAAGGTAAGTCCTTGTGTCTCAAGGCTGCCTGCCTGGGAAGCTTCTCCCTTCACGAGGCTGTCACAAACCTTAGCACTTTAGGTTTGAAAGCGACCTCAAACATCTAGCCTAAGCAAGGATAGAGATGTGCTAAGCTACACGTTCATGTTCAAACAGAGAGCAGGGAGCTGGTCGCTCTTATTTGTTACCATGCTCTCCAGCACCTAATACAGTTTCTCCTACAAGTGTACACTCTCAGTAAATTTTTGATGAATGGTTGAGTTAATAAACAGCAGCATAGCAGAACATAAATTTGATTTCATTGATTTCTAGTTCATGTTTTTTCTACATTATTTCTTCATCATGAGAATTTGTGCCTAAAGCCAATTAAACCATAAGACATTTTTCTTAGAATTATACCATAAGCCATTAAATTTGTAACCATTAAAGATTGTTTTTGTCTCTCTATAAAATATGTTCTCCATTATATTTTCAATCATAATTTAATAAGGGCAGGGGCTCAGTTTTTAGTTTCGGCATCTCTGTTATCTGCACAGTGCACAGTAGCATTGTATGTGCTTAATAAATTTGGTGCTTTAATAAATCTAAGTCTGTACAAGACTCTCTGTTTTCTTTGGGGAGGATTAGGTTTATTTTATTTATTATTTATTTGTTTATTTTAATGGAGGTACTGAGGATTGAATTGAGGACCTCAAGCATGCTAAGCACACACTCTACCACTGAACTATACCCTCCCCACTACAAAATTCTTTCTTTATTTTAATAAATATTTCAGAGTTAGAGCATTTGCCATTTCTAATAAAAACTAATTATACCAAATGAAAGTCCAGGGGTGCTTCTCCAGGCCCAGTTTAGACTACATATCTAAAAAGAAATATTGGTTTGATATTTATCCTATTGTGATAAAATTGTTTTTAAGTGATATGATGAGATAATTGTAAAACTCAACAATTTTACAATGGGTTTATGACTATCTTGGCATCATTGTTTTGGAGAAAATGAAAAAGAACCTGTCTACAGAACATCCTACGAACTACAGAATAGAAAACAGACCATCAAAGCTAGAAGGAGAAAAGAATGGTCGAGGGGAAGATTCAGAATGGGTGAGGGGAAAAACAGACAAGCACCTGAACAGGTCAAGGAAAGCCTCACTCCAGAACATGACCTCACTGCTTCCACTGCTAACACACTGGGCCAAGCCACATTATCACTCATTTGGTTTATTGTGATAGCCCTCTCACTGGTCTCCCAGATTCTGCTCTAAACCCTGTTCAGTCCATTCTCTAATTAGCACCCATAGTGATTCAGTTAAAACCATACCAGACAAAACATACCATTCTTCTTCTCAGAACCCTCCACTGGCTCCCATCTCACTCCAAGCATAATTGAAGTCCTATCCATTGCCTACCAGTTCCTACCGGCTTGCTCCCCATCACCTCTCTGACTTTCTTTCCTACTGTTTTCCTCTCCATGCTACCTCTACTCTAGCCTCAGAGTCTTTGCACCTGCTGTTCCTTCAGCCTAGAATTCTATTCTCCCAAATATCCCTCTAGTTCTATGCTAAACTACTACCTTCTACTCCAGCACAAGATTGCAATCTCTAAATACTATTTTACAATTAAATGAACCAAGACTCTTGGGGAAAATGGTTGATTCCAAGTCTGAGGCAGGAAGTGTGAGACTGGAATATTTTATCATACCAGAAATCAAGGACACTATCTAAAACTACTAGGGTCATTCCAAAAGGACTCAGGAGCCAACTTTAAGTGGTAAAAAATATGAGCAGCAATAATAAATAATAATTGAAATGGGTTAAAACAGATTAGATATGCTGATATCCACATATTCATAATGATACTATAAAGAAATCATTGTTCACCTTTGGAACCAATTCATTATTCCAAAAACAAATAAATAAAAGGGGAAAATATCAAAGCTCAACATGCCTTTTGCTGCATGAACTGTACCACAAAACAGCCAAATAGTTGATGAGGAAGTTCCTCCTTAAAGTATTCCAGATAATGAAAGAATAAAATTTGAATATCACCATTGTGCAAACACCAAATAAAGTAATGAATCTAAGCATAATCATCAATGGCTGATTACACCACAAAAGTTGGTACCAACATTCATTGAGGGCCTTCTGATGGAGGCACATACCACACCCTCTGAAGCAGCCTTACCAAAATATTGAAGCCTCTAGATCTAGCTACCAGTTTACAGGAAATACAAGGGCACAGAAAACCATGCTAAAAGGCACCACAGGAATGCAATCAATAAAATTTAATCTGGAGGAAACACTATAAAATAACTCAATGTTTTTAACAAATAAGTTGCAGAGGAAAAAAAAAAAAAAAGAGGATGAGGTACCTATAGACCAAAAGAGATTTAAATATATATATCAAGAAAATTCAATATCTGGGCTTGAAGTCCTGGCTTAAATCATTGTAAACGAAGCGCCAAGACAATTGAAGAAATCTGAACACTGATTGGATGTTTTATAATATTAAACAACTGTTAATTTTTTCAGGTGTATATAGTATTGTGGTTATAATTTTTCAAAAGTCCATATCTTTTGGAGAGAGATCTACAGAAGAAATCTGATATTGGCTTCAAAAAGAGGAGCAGTAGATTAGGTATAAATAATACAAAATTAGGGATTGGGTTGAAGTTGGATAATGGGTACATAGGGTTTTGATTTACTGTTTTCTCTACTTTGTATGTTTAAAATTTTCTGCAATGAAAGGTAATAAAAAAAATGTTAGGTGTAAAAGGGGAGAGTATCTGATGATTTGCTATAGTTATATGAGGGAATTGTTTCAGGGTTTTAAGGAACAGGATTGAATATTTACTGAGTCGGCAGCCATATGCAAAATTGGCGTTGGGTTGGGGGCAGTGCTGAAGGACAGAAAGGTTCGGTTAAAAAAAATTGCTATAATTTGGTAAGATGATCATCACAAAATAGGCTGAGCATTCCATTTAAGGAAAAAACAGTCAGATGAAAGAGAGTATTTGCATGAAAAATAAAAGTAATTAAACAACAAACTGGTCAAAGATAAAAAGCTGTTACACCAGAGTAAGCCAGAAAAGTATATTCACTGTGCATTTTATCTGTAGCGCAATAATGAGGCAACAATATCAAAATTTTCTTAGATGTCTTTGTGGAATATAACATGAGATGTAGAAATTAGAAAGGATCATACACTCTTTCCAAAATGCAATATCCATGGTGTGGTTTGACAACTTGACACACTCTACATACATCCAACAGTGACCAAAGAGGAGTAACATAAATTGGACGAAGTAGTGGTAGTTTCTACATCACTGGGGGGTGGGAGGAGCTGGTGGGATAGGGTGGAGGATGGGCATTCTGGTCTCTACGTTGTTTCTAATTCTCCATTAAAACAGAAGTCTATTGATAAAACTCATGAAAGGAGGTACTCTGGTTTTATGTAGCTTAAAATAAATGACCAGAGTAACTATTGTACAAAACGACATGTTTTCCTAATTCCAAGAATGCCTATATTTATCCATTCAGCTTTTATTATATTTGAATTTACCAAAATGTTCTTTGTAACATTTGACACAGTGTTCAAAACGTTATGTCCTTTTGATATTATTTAAAGAGTTCTTACTCATGGCTGGTATCAAGGCTAAAAGGAGACTGTAAAAGAATGGGGTTTTATAATTGATAGGGATGCCACAGGCATGGTGAATTATAGTACTTCAAGAATCGCACAGTAAAATGGTAAATGTTGTATGGCAGTTGACAAATCTAATCTCGGGAATTCAATAGATTTTTTTCCCACCAGCTATTCACTGAAACCCAATCTTCTTATACCCCCTGTAAACCAAGACACTAAGTCAGTACTATTCGGTGTTTGGCATAAAAATAAGAAACAAAATTTGCCAGCACTTTTTGAAAATCATATCAAATTTTCTTGATACTATTTGACATTGTGCTTTGACAATCTATCAGCACTATACGCACATGTCCTATCCAAAAAACCTCAAATGGATTAGATTAACTCAATCATGTTTGTAGTTCTCCACCATCAATAATAACTTCTGCCCCCACTCCATCTGCCTGCTTACAGGTATTCAGAGATAATAAGAACCCCCGTGAGGGGCAGGAAATAGGCAATAGGGGTGGACCTAAAAGTACTCTGACAGTATTTAGAACGCTCACTGGTTCAGAAAATGCTCCTTCCCTTCTTTTAAGGAGAGGCATAGGAAAGGCACTCTCTCAGAGCAGAGCCATGGTTCTCAACCCTGGCTGCAGGTGGGGATGTGGTCCAGAGTAGGGCTTAGGCAAGGATTTCTTTTCAAAGGGCTCCAGTGATTTAAATGTGCTGCCAGGGCTTTCAAGTTAAGGAAAT